AATCATCAGGGGGCCTCTGATACCCCTCAAGTCACCAGCTCCAAGGAACTAGCATCTGGAGCCTCCAGTAACAGTTGGTCTCTCTGCAGTGAGTTGGGCGGGAGCGGGGGGATGTTTTAACCCCTTCATAGCTGTGCCTCAGTCCTAGCGGGCAGCTTTTAAAATCCCTAGGCCAGGAGGGCACCCGGGCCTGGTCCTGAGGCGTTGATGTCGGGGGCAGCTGTGGGTTTGCTTGGTGCTTTTCTGTCCTAGGGTGGCAAGTGGTGGAAAGCGGTAAGGCCCGCGTGCCGGTCAGAGCCACCGATCACACCTTCAGCAGCAGCTGGATTTCAGGCCCTTTTCTTTAGGGTTGAGTTTTATTTCTCCAGCTCACAAGAGTTTCCCCCTCCAGCGGCTCCTTTGCCCTGCCCCAGGCTCCTTCCCTGGTTGGCTCGCTCCCAGCTGGGCTGCGTCTTGGCCTTTTAGCCAAGGACCAGCTGACCTGCCGGCTAGGGCCGGATCCCTGACCTCAACCACCATCCCCCAGAGGCAGCGCCCCTTAAAACACCAGTGCCACATAGCTTCCTTGACCGCAGCTCGCCCGAGCACGCTGGGCTCGTTGTGGGACGCTCCGAGCACGTGGCGACGGCGTGAGCCAAGAGTGGACCCTGCCCCTGAGTTCCATTGAATAGCACTGAGCCCCTGGAACGCAGCCAGCCCCAGAGCTGCACGCATCAGTTACGCACAGTCCGCTGAACAGAGCAGTCTGCCATGGAGGCTGGTGTTTGGGTCTGATTTGCATTATTCCCCCCCCCCCGGCATATGGCGCCCCTTGTACCGAGACTCCCCTCCACTGAGTGTTTAGCCTGGAGCCGCTCTGCCCTGCCAACCAGCAGTTTAGGATAGAAACCGACCAAGAACTCCACTGAGGTGGAAAGCGTGGCCGCGGGGCGGGCAGGGCGTCCCCTTCCCCCCCAGAGCTGGCGGGTGGGCCGATCCCGAGCGCCCTGCCTGCCGCTTGCGTTGCAACCCTGGACCTTGACGTGATCCGCGGGGTCAACGGCGCCAAGGGGAGAAAATATCCTGTGGCCTCCCGCCCGCTTGCAGCCGCAGGAATAGCTCGTCTGACGTCAACTCCAAAAGTGCACTGCTGGGGGAGGGGGGGACGGCCCATAAATAACCCTGCTATTAAAAGTCTAGGGTTCGGATTAACACACTGATAAATAAACCAGCGTCCCCTTTGCTGCGCCGGGTCAGAAATTTAAACACCGCCGCAGAACGTAGAGCCTGAGCCGGCCTGGGAGCACGCGGTGTATGGGGCCCTGAAAGGTGATCCCTGAGTCGGTTTCCACGGGCACCTTTGCCACAGGCTGGATCTGCCGTCTAGGCAGTTGCCTGGGACAGTAAACAGTGGGATGGGTGGGGGGGGAAGACAGGGCGGGGGATGGGAATGATCCGTGGGTATTGAGGGTGATGGGTTGACTGTATTGATGTAGGCAACCTAGATTTTCGCCCAGGGCTATTATTGATTTGTATTACCCTGGGCATCTAGGAACCCCGGTCGTGGAGCCAGGCCCCCTTGGCGCTAGGCGCTGTACAAACCCGATCTGAGCGACACTTTGAGGTTGGCTTTGCTGTACTCGGCGCCTTGTGTGAGTATTGCATTGTGCTGACCGCCCGCCAGCGTGGCGTGCGTTGTCCCCCAGGACGGGGGGAGCAGGGGCAGCGGCACAGCAAGCTTCTCCCGCCAGTATATCTGCCCTCGGTCCTGGCGGGGACCCCAATGCAGGGCAGCGGAGTGAAGTCTCCCTGTCCCATACAGTCATTGGCCAATGGGGGGCTCGGGGTGTCTTTGGTTTTCATGATGCCGGTCCGCTAAGAGCCTCAGTTAGGCCAGCGCGTGGTAACAACTTTCGGTCCCTCCCAACTTCGGCTTGTAGTCGGAGCGGTGACCTAGAGGAGAGAGGCACCAAGTCCCCGCGGCTTCCGCTGGGCCTCGGCCCAGTCCCCAGCGGGCTTCATGGGAAGGTCCTGTGGGGAGTGCCACAAGGATCCCAGCGTTTGCCCTGCCGGGATCCGCGCTAACTGCTTCATTCATGGTGCATTTGGCCCGGTATGGCATCGCAACCCCTACGGCCAGTCCATCCCCCCGACAAGCCCCCAGGAGGCCAGATTCAGTGCTGATGTAAACACGTGCCGCTCCACAAGAATCAACGGAGCTGCGCCAATTTGCTCCAGCAAAGAATTGGTCCCCACCCCATTCCCAGGAGCCTGTGGGCCACTAGCTCACCCCTGGAGAAGAGATGTTGCTAGAGCCCAGCCCCCCACGCGTTCCTCCCCGGGGGTGCTTTGCAGGCGCTCCTCAGCCTGGGAGTGGGGCGGGGAGGAGCATTTTTGGAGCCCGGTGAGTAGTTTTGGCCCTGTGGCTCAGGCGTGCTGAGAAACCAGGGGTGGAATTTTCCCATCATGCACCTCTCCGGGTTCTGTAGACGGCGGGGCCAGGTGAAGATGCTTCTCAGCTCACCCGCCAGAGCCCCGCGCTTGCTTTCCCGGCTTGCTCTTACCGGGGCCCCTAATTCCCACGCAGAGATTTTCCCTTCCCGGCAAAACCTGGGGGTTTATTTCTGGCAGTGCTGAGGCGGATTAACGTCCGGGGCAATTAGGGCCTCTTGGAAGGAGCCTTCGCAAGCCTCACTCAGTGGCTTGAGTTACTCAGCCGGGCTTGTCTTCCATGCAAGGGGCCGCGTCGAGGTGGAGTCTGGGGGGAGCTGCATTCGGGGCATCCCGTGCAGGCTTGGCCCTGTCCCCCTGCACAGCCCTGGCAGCACAAGAAGAAGAAACAACTCGCTGTCAGACCCCCGCCTGCCACGACAGCGGGTCAGGAAGGGGCCTGGGGGGGGGCGCACTGCTTGAGCGCTGCCAGCTGGGGGCTTCTGCCCGTTCCAAGGGCGTGAGCTGTTCCTGCTGCAGTAATCCGGGGGCTCCGAGAAGCGGGAGGTGGGAGACCTGGCCGAGGCCTCTAGGAGAGGCTGCGCTTTGCAGTGGTGTCTGGGTGCGGAGGGGGAAAGTCTCCTAGGCTGTTAGGCAGGACCAGGGGGTGCTGGCTAAGCCGTGGAGCAGATTGTGGGGTGCTCCCTGTGGCTAAATGGGGGAGGCGCTGCTGCTGCTCTGAGCCCCACGCGGGGTGGGGGACACTCTGGAGCCCCAGATCTGCCCCCGGGGTGGCTCCTGAACTCCCACGCTCAGCAGCTGCGTCCCTCACGGCCCGGGGCAGCCTCAGTCTCCCAGGTGCGTCCCTAGGCTCCCTGCGGCTGGGTCCGCTCGCTGGCAGAGGGCCCGGCCATGGGTTTAACGAAGGCGGGAGGGGCTTGGCTCCAGGGTCGGCCTGCTGAGCAAGGAGTGAACGCAAAGCCGCCTGTCCCTGGGGCAAAGCCCCTGTGTTATCCCCCTGCATCCTGGCTGGGGGGGAGGGCGCCGGGCTCCTACATTTTCAGTAGCCGCCATTGGCTGTGGGTGCCTGCCCGGAGACCCAGCTGGGGCCAGAGGTTCCCCGCCCATTGTCAAGGGTCGCTTCCGTTCCATCAGACAGCAACCTAGACCCACCAAAGCCCCCGCCCCCAACTCCAGGGCCGGGGTCCTAGCCACTGCCCTGCTCTGCCCTTCGCTAGCCCGGGGCCTCTTTGGGTGGCTGACCTGCGCAGGCAGAAAAGTAAGCGAAGTGCAGCCATGGGCGGGGGATGAACCCCTGGCTTGGGGAGGCTAGCTCCCAGCCCCGCCCCTTCCACCGAGGCTCCGCCCCTTCCGTGCCCACCCGAGCCCAGCACCCCTGGAGCGCTGGAGAGCCGGGCAACGCGGCCCCAGTCCCCCCGGCCCTGGAGTGCTGGGCCACGTCGCCCAGCCCTACCTCTGGCTGGCATGCCCCAGCTTCCCTGGGCCGCACCACCGGGCCTGATCCCCGGCCGACTGGCCTCCCAACCCCTGGAGGTGCCCCCGGCCCAGCTGCCAGCCCCAGCGCTGGGTGGGCGGGCGGCCAGAGTGTCCCCAACCTCAGTGCTGGGCAGGTGGATGGGCAGGAGGTGTGGCCGGCGTGCTGGGAGGACGGGTGGCGCGGCATGGCCCCGGGGGTGCATCACGGCCCCCAGGCTGCCTTCCCCAGCCTCTGGCACAAAGGGAAGGGCAGGCAGGTTGGGGCCTGGGGGTGGAGCATGGGCGGGGGGACGTTAGGCTGTTTGGGAAGGCAGAACCTTCCCGTGCCTACGATACCCACCGCCATGAGTGCAGCCGTGTTAGGGTTAGTTAGCCAGTCCCGTTGGCTATGGTTAGTCCGTGCTCTCTGCCTGCTGGGTCTGTCTTGCTGCCCCTCACCGTGGTATCTGAGCTCCTTCTGCATCAAATCAAGAGCCAAGCCCCTGGTGCATTTCACGGGGTCTCTGCCCCTTCTCCCTTTTGGGGCTCAAAACCTGGGGGAGGGTTTAGTTTTGGGGATTTTTTTTTGATTGGATTAATTTCCTCCAGTCTGGGGTGGGGTGGGGGTCAGGTTGGGGGTCATGAGGGAGTGGTCAGCGTTGAAGGTTGGGGTTTGAGGGCAAGGGGGGCTGGTCACGGTTGTCTGGGCGGAGGAGGGGGTTGAGGTCTGGGGGCGGGAAGGTGGGGGTCACAGTTGAGTGTTGGGGTCTGGGGGCAGCGAATGCTGTTCTTGGTTGGAACGGCTGTTTCAAAGCCATCCCCCGTGGACCTTCCGCTGATCTAGTCAATTTAAGAATAGAAATTAACTTTTTCTCCCCGCCCCTGTCTTTCCTTGCCCCTCCCCTCTCGTGTGTCCTCCTCCCCCCCCCATCTGTCTCTCTCCTGGCTCTTGGCAGTGCTCTCAGCCCCCCCAGGAAGCTATTCCACTGACCCCCCCTTGGTAAAGGCTTCATCTGCTAGGCAGCCCCCTTCTGTAGGAACAATCCCAGTTCCCCGAGCAGTGGGCTATTTATAGCTGGCTCCTCCCCTCCAGTTCTATTTCAGGTCACCCTGGGCAGTTGCTGTCTGACTTGGTGGAAAGGATGGGAGAGAAGAAAAATCAGATAAAGGGAATTGTCGGTGGCGCAATTAGCAGAGGGCTGCGCGGGCAAGCCCAGCCCCTTCTGCTTCGCAGGACATCTTAGCTCAGTTGTTTCGGTGACGCTGGGAGCCAGCTCCATCTCTGTTCCTGTGTAAATGCCTGATCCCCGTGCCATTCCTCCCGGAGTGAATCAGACAGCGCCTGAGATGTGAAACCCTCCTTCTTCTCTAGACTAGCGGCTGGACCCCCTTCCGGAACAGCGGGCCCTTCCCACGCCCAGCCTCTGCTGTCTGCAGTTGGCATAAACAGTGACCTTTTTTTGTGTGGTGTTGTTGCAAGATTTGAATATTATTATTATTTTTTTTGGCCCAGCAGATGAATCTTTTTGGGGTTGCTGTCGAATGCTGCTCGCTGACTCGGATGTTTTAACTTTCCCTAGGAGACCCCCCCGCCTTTTGCTCTTTGTGGGTGTGTGTGAGGGGGGATGTCTGATGGTTTTCGGCTGAAATTCGGCACAACGGACCCCTCCCTCCTTTTGCGAAGGAACGCTCCCTTGCCCTGCGCCAGCTTGTAAGGAGAAGGTGGGCCAGGGAAGGGAGCCAGCGTGGATTGCCTTGCCGGGCCCTGCGGTAGCTGGTGTCAGAATTGTTCCTGGCATGCTGCTCATGCCCAGGGCACAGGGGCTGCCAGCGATGTTGCAGACTATTTACGAGAGCGAATCATGTTTTTCTTCAGATGGGGTATCCGGACGCGAGCAGTCGCTGGAGCTCCTTTCGCGGACTCCGCTCCATGGCCTTCCCGTGGCAGGTGAGTGCGGCGCGATCGTTGATACGGCCCCGTCAATGCTGTCGATGGCCCCGAGCTTCTAGAACGGAGCGGGAGGCGCCTCTGGCATCGGTGGGGGCCCGATCCTGCCAATGGGCCACTCCGTTGGCGCAGGGCCCCGTGCATTTCGTAGGATTGGGCCCGCAATGTTGCAGACGTGGAGCCGGGTTTATCAAATTGCCCGGGGGGCTGGTTTTCGAGGGCTCAGCGCTGGTGCTCCGGGACAGAGCCCCACGCGCCCTTTTGGAAATCGGGCCCAGATTCTGGGTGCCGAGCTCTCGTGGGAATTTTAATCCTAGGGCACGATCCTGCCATGCATGCCGAGCCCTGCTCGGCTCCCGGCAATGCAGGCATTGCTCAGGGTTGGGTTTACGCTTAGCGGAGCCAGGCAGATGGTCAGGGTTTCATAATGCCAGGTGGCTTTTCTTTAGATACTTTGTCTTCACTCCGGGGTTCAGGCGCTCGGAAGCTGAATGAAAGCCTGGGAATATGGGACGGACTTGCCTGCCAGCAGGTGTTTCTGCCAAGCAGCCTTTTCCGTTCCCTGTCCGTAGCACGCAGCGCATGGGTTGATTTTGATGGCGGCCCCGTGATAGTCCAGCTCCTGCCACGTCCCTGAGCCAGCCAGCTGCGGTGTCAGTGGGCTTTGGATTGGGTCCTCAGGACACAGCTGGCCCTGGATAGGGACCTTGCTGGGTGGCGGCCCGCACCAGTGCCCACTGCCGTGGTTTTGGCTGTGAGATGGCACAGCTGGCAGCTGCAGAATGGGTCACTAAATGACCTTTGGCAGCCCGGTTTCCCCTGCGGTGGGAGAAGCGTGTCCGCGGAGGGGGCTGGGTCTCTTGAGGTTGAGTTTGTTGGTGGGAGCGACGCGCGACCTGGCGTGGAGGGACAACGCGCCCAGGGCTCGGCGCGATCGGCGGGGCGCCGCTCCTGTCCCTTCACGCGGGCGCCTCGTTGTCCGGTGTTCCCCGGGAAGGGATTCATTTAGCTGCCGGCCACCTCAGGGCGAGGGGCTCTGGCTTTCCAACTTTCCGGCGCCGTTAGCATCGGCAGCGCTTGAGGAATGAGGCGCGCTTGGACCATCAGTTTCCAGCATGGGCCCCTGGGAGCAGGGAGGGTTGATCTGTTAGTGACCGGGGCAGGGGGTGGATGCCGGGACGTTCTGCCCCGATTTACCACCCCCACCTCTGGCTCCCGGAGATCTTTGATCCTCCTCTGAAGGCAGGAGGGAGATATTTCCTCCCCTCTTCCAGTTTGGCCTGCAGCCCCATTCAATGCCCGTTGGCAACTGGCTTCTGCAGACAGAGCCCCCTGCAGCGTGGGATCTCAAGTGGACAGCGTCCGCTTCCATTTTAGCCCCGGCTTGCTGCCTTCGGGTACCTGAAATCTTAATAGCATTGACTCCCTCCCTTCCTTCCTTCCTTCCCTGGACTGGGAGATGCCTCCGAACCCCTGGGCTGCCCCCGCCCCTCCTGTAGCTGCCCCCCCCCACTTCTCTGCCCTCCCCTCTCATCCCAAAGAAGGGCTCCGTGTTCACAAACAGCAGCCATGCCCTTGTGTCAACCGGGACGTGGAATTGGGAGCTGGCGCTCGCAGGGCAAAGGAAATGGGGGGAAGGGGCAGCAGAGGGGTGTGGGGGTGCGGGAGAGAAACACAGAAGCCCGTCACCTTGTGATGGCGCAGAACCGTCCACAACAGGCTAGGAGACGCGCTGGCCCGTCCGTGCCCGGCGTGGCAAATGGATGAGCAAGGGTGTGTAACAAGGGGAAGCAAGTGAGAGGATGTAGGGCTGGATGAAGCGCAGGTAGTTATGTCAGCGTTACCTAATCCTGGTGGAGTTTGCAGCTGGCCGGATCCCTTGGCTTTGGGAGGATTTGCTGGTGTGTGTGTGCGCGCGTCAGGATTTGGGTGCCTGCTTACTACAAGTTGTAAAGCAGCCTGGCTGGGACTTGGTCTGACTCTGCTTGGATGCTGTGGCTCCGTGGGAAGTGATGGGTTTTGATGCAGGACTTGCAGGGTGAGCTTTTTTCGCACAACGCACAGTCAACCTGTGGAACTCCTTGCCAGAGGATGTTGGGAAGGCCAAGACTATAACAGGGTTCAAAAAAGAACTAGATAAGTTCCTGGAGGATAGGTCCATCAGTGGCTATTAGCCTGGATGGGCAGGGATGGTGTCCCTAGCCTCTGTTTGCCAGAAGCTGGGAATGGGCGACAGGGGATGGATCACTGGATGATTCCCTGTTCTGTTCGTTCCCTCTGGGGCACCTGACACTGGCCACTGTCGGAAGACAGGATACTGGGCTAGATGGACCTTTGGTTTGACCCAGTGTGGCTGTTCTGATGTTCCCGTGGCCTTGTGTTGTGCAAGAGGCCGGACGCAGTGATCCCATGGCCACGTGTTCCGTTATCCCTGGAGACGCTCTCAGGACGGGCTGGGGGAGGGACATGGGTAGGATCCTGGTCCTTTCAAAGTGGGACGGTTCTGGTCTGCAGGCGAACGCAAAGATGTGCCTAGAAATCCATCTTGGGCAAGGCTAAGACTTTGTCACTGAATTTTTTAGTAAAGTTCATGGCAGAGGTGCGGGGGGAACCAATAAGCCACAGAAAGGTCACCAAATAATGTTGTTTTTTGCTCCATCAATACACACAAGACAGTAGTGGAGGGTGCTGAAAAGTGAGCGAAACTGGTCTGCACTCACCTCACAGCGGCAGCTCCTGCCCCACGAGTCTGGGCCCGGTTCCTTGCTCTGGGACCTGGCACATGGGGTCAGGTTTGGCCCATCTGCCTCTCCGTCTATGGAGGGGTGCATGGGCCAAACCAGAATGGCCCAGCGACCCCATGCGCCAGGTCACAGTGCCGCTCGGCTTGGGGGCTCAGGGGTAATGCACAGTGCCCGGTTTTCTCCCAAGAACGGAGGTGGTCCCCGCTGGAGTCTTTATTGGACAGAATATTAGTAGCCACCAGTTAGGCACGTTCCTGGGACAACAAAATCGGAGCAAACAATTTAATTGTCCCCCCCATTCACATATGTACAGCAGCGTTTGCCCTTTAATTCATGCTGCCCTCTAGACAGAATCTGGTCAATACGGTCTGACCCTGCCCATCCACAGGCCTCGAAGAGAGGCAGAGCTCCCTACTCCCCCTTTCACAGAAGGAGGGAAAGTGATTTGCCTAGAGAGACACAGCAAGGCAGTGGCAGGGCTGGGGATTAAACCTAGGTCTGTGCTCCCAGTCCCCTGCCTTGCCCTGCCCCACCGCTGCCTCCAGCAGTCAGCTTCTTGCGCACGCACTGTGCCTCGGCCTTTGTCCAGCTCTGTAACCGCTCAGCCTGCGGTTCCCCAGAGCACAGCGGCCTGCGGGCGCTGGATTGTGGTCTGGTCGGCGCGTGTCACCCGGGGGAGGTGCTGAACGGGGCGCGTTCGGGCTCCGAGCGCCGCTAAGCTGTGACGTTACAAAGTGTATCCCGGATGGGCTCCCTCTGGTCATGGAAACGGACACGGTGCCTCTGATCATGCAGCGCTGGCCGGGGGTGGGTGGACGGCACGGAGACACCCCCCGTCTTGCTGCTTGTGTCCAAGGGAAGCCCGCGCCTCGGCCCCTCAGTGGGAATGTTTAAAAGGAGCACGAGTCGCCGTTCGCCAGCCGTGAGTCACCCTGTCTGCAAAACCATAGGGCTGGGAATGCAGGGCCGCTCTGGCCATCTCACCGGCTTGGCATCTCCGAGGGCGCTCGCACAGCATCGCCGGCCCATGCCACGGCTGCTAATAAAGGATTTTTTTTTTTTTAGAGGGGGAGGAATGTGGAATGTAAACACATGTTTCAAATAGAAACCTTGTAACCTTCTGGGATAAACAGGCCGTCACGCGGCCGGGGGAAAGGCTGGAGACTCCACATGGGACGTTTCAAGTGATATTCCGCCCCTCTCCCCTTTCATTGTGGAGGTGAAAGGAAAGATGGCAAAAGAGTTAACCCTGGTTCCCCCTTGGGGTTCATCTGCTGCACACCAAGCCCAGACTCAGGTTTGAGTCCAAGCTCCCCTTCCGTCCACACGCACCTCAGGCTGACTTGGATCGGTGGGCACCCGGGGGGGCCTAGAACCCTGCTAGGGGGGCTTGTCAGAGCCCGAGTCCCAACCCCATCCTTTTGCAGGGTGCACGCAGCTTCAGTCACACCCGAGGCCGAAGGTCCGTGTGGTGCAGTGTGGGCGTGTTAGCATAGCTGAGAGACCCAGCAACTGCCAACCCATGCAGTGTGGACGCTCCGGCACAGGGTTGGAAACGCAAAGGAGACAAACCCGGGTCCTACAGACCCGGGCCCAGTGTGCAGGATAGGCATACCCTCTGTATCTTAAATCTTAAAGCGGGGCACCCAAGAACCGAGGCCCCCAAAACTAGAGGCACTTTTGAGACGGCGTTTCTACAGCCTTTTGCTCCAAACTGCTTCAGAAATGATCAAAGCTAAAATGCGGCCAGCTCTGGGGTGGAGGGCAGCAGGCTGCTTGGCACACTACACACAAGTGTCGGAAGGGGATTGGATCTGAGGGCTCCCACCGAATCTTGGTCCACACTGTGTGTTGGCTGCTCCTGGCAGAGTCCGGGGCTAGTTTGGGAGGAGCAGACAGCACGCGAGGCCGAGACCTAGGTTTGGGATAGCAGAGCATCTCGTCGGTCAGGGTTAGTGTCTCGGTAGAGGATGGGAATGGTGCACAATAAGAGGTACTGCAGGCCAGGAACTGGGTCCTGGGGTGTAGCACTAAAAACCTGCAGACCTAGGTTCCATTCCTGGCCACTGACTCACTGTGTGGCCTTGGGCAAGTAATTCGGCCTCTCCGTGCCTCAGTTTCCCCATCTCTCGTTTATGTTACAGAAGTGCCTAAAGGCGTGATTGTGCTCGGTGCTGTACAAACACACAGCGAAAGGTGGCCTCGGCCCCAGAGAGTTCATATGCTAAGTAGACAAGACAGCTGTGGGGTGGGAGG